AGAAGAAAGAAAAGATTTATTCTGCTTGCAGGAAGATGGAGTAGACATAAATTACCCCATTTCTCCTATTATGTACAACTAAAAATCCTGGACTTATATAAGAAGCAATGTAAGAAGAATCTGAAAGGTTGCCAGAAGAAAGTAGACCAATTAGAAATCTCAGAACTCAAGGACTGACATTATGGTGAGTTTCTGGGTTTGTTTTTGTTTCATAATCCAGACTTAAAGCTGAAGATACCAGCAACTTCAGCTATAGATTATTGTTTGAATACAGTACTATAATTCTACAAAATGTTAACAAAAGGAAGCATGATATCTCTTTATATTATTTCTACCAACTACTTGTGCTTTTTCTAAAATTACCTAAAAATAAAAATTTTTATTTAAAAATATGGTTCTAACCCTGTCTCCCTCACCTTCTTTCTCTCAGTCCACACAACTTAGTAAAGCAATTTTATCATTGAATGGAGCCCCCCTAGGGAGAGATCATCTCCTGCTGCTTCCTATATAATGTTCTGGATGAAGGAGGTGAAAGATTATCCAGAAGTATTTTCAAAATTCATGACTCTGTCCTGAGCATTCTTAGGCATGAGGTGTCACTCATTCCCTTAATGACAACACTGGCCAGCTGGGATGGCACACTTTTCAGGTGACAGCATGACCTGGTACATTGACATGGTCATAGATCACAGTGAGCACTTGAATGAACACTTGACAGAGTACTCTGCTCACCGATTCCACACACAGTAGCCTATGCTGACCCAACTGGGGGACACAAGGGATCTCTGTGTATTAAGATGTGCTGTCCCTCTTGCACCTGACCTTCTGGACAAAAGGGATTAGTGTGAAGAGGAGATGACTGGAATAAAGGTAAAGTTATGAAAACACTGGTTTTTTTTTAAGTACTTTTCAGTTGTCAATGGACCTTTATTTTATTTATTTATGTGTGGTGCTAAGAATTTAACCCGGTGCCTCACACATTCTAGGCAAGAGCTCTACCACTAAGCTACCACCCCAGCTCCAACACACTGGTTTTCTAGAAGTGAAAGGAGAGCAGTAACTTGGCATCTGAAGAGAGAAAATCTTAGACCCTGAAGTGAGGCACATTAATGATACTTTGTTCTTCATAATCACCTGGAAATTTCCTCTGCAAGGAAAATGCCTCCACACCATTTTCCTAAATTGTTTCAAACATCTTAACTGTAACTGACTATAGTTCTGTCAGACAGCTCCAACCATGATTTGATAGCCATCCCCCTTAACCTTTCCAAGAAGTCTACTGGAAACAGCATGGGGCAGCCCTGCTCCTGTACTTCCAACAGAAGATTCCTGCTGTCACCTGTGATGACTTCTTCACTCCGTTTTTTTCAGTCACCTCTTGGAGTAAGACTGTCATTCAGCTAGTGGCATGGACAAACAGAACATGTTGGGCTGGATACACCACAGGAAGTCTTTCCAAAAATAAGAACTAGCCTCAATTACTCAAACTTAACTGGAAACCAACTAGCTAGCCAGAAGGCCACATTGAAAATACTGTCTTTTGCACCCATATCCCCCAAAGATGTAGGTTCCTTTGAGGGCCCCAACAATTATTGCCGCAGTCTGGCTGGGCACAATTCAGGAGCCACTTGTCAAAAGAAACTAACTTTATTTTTAGAACTACAAACGCCAAACAAAACAGCTCCTCAGGAAAAAACCCTCAGAGCCCAACT